AGTGCGTAGGATTTTATACCTATTATTGCCCTCCGGATAGTTACAAGAGTGAAGAGGGAGTTCAATATACAATTAGAGTAAATGCAGGTTTCAAGTATTCCTACCCTTGCTTTTAAAATTATCTCCCAAACACTCCTACAGAAATTATATTTATACTAGAGCCGAGCTCGTTGCAAAGCAACGAGTAGGTCTTCCGTTGGAGCTGTGGACAGGAAGTATAGACCTTGCGTCAAGGTCACTGCACTTTCTTATGTCAACAACCTTTTTTCTCAGCATGAGCCTCCAGTGAATTTTCATTACAAAGTTATGTTTAAACATTTTTTTCTTTGTCAGTGACCTTGATTTGCCAGAAAGACATTTAATCAGAGTCATGACAAAACCCCCAATCATAAGAAATCTATGTTTCAAGTAAAAGCCTCCAATGATTTTCATTTACTACTTCATGGTGTAGTAAAGAAAATATTTCTTCTGTCAGTGACCTTGATCTTAACAGAATAACCTTGGCTCTGTGTCAAGACAAACACCTTTTAGTGATTAGAAGTTCATAACACTGAAAGGAATTTTGCAACTTTTCTGTCATTGGCCGATGAAGATGTTTGAAATTTGCATTATCTCGTTCCATTTTGTCAAAGGTCAGAAAAACAACAATTGTTTTCCCATAGGCGACAATGTTAACGTTTCTTCTCATAGCGATGTCCCTAATTTTCGTTCGGTAGTGAGTGACCCCTCAAATCAAAGCACATCAACTTGTCTTTCCTTGGTTAAAATCTCGAGGTGGCATGTCAGATTCGGTTTCCGGCAAATGTGTCTGTCTGCGGGAACCTCTAAAAATGAAAGTGAAAGTAGGGGAATTTCAGAATTCTCACTGGCGTTATAATACACAAAATAATTCGGCTGATCTTCTTGATAAATTACATTTTCAAAGCTTTTTTGGCAGGAAAGATACTCCTTATCAACAAGTGTGAGGCTCAGTTCAGTACACCTGCCCAATTTTTTTTATGCAAGTCTGCAATTTAAGGAACTTGTAATTTTTTCTGCACTACATTCATCTCCTACTGATTCTAAAAATAATTAGAGGGATGTACCCAATATGAAAAAGCATTTTTTTGATTTTACAATATTTCACACTGTTTGTCAATCTAGAGCATAAGTAGAGACATCATGCCAAGTTTCATGAAAATTCAACAATTAATTAAGATTTTACAGCATTTACAGTTCTAAGTGTAATATCCTTAAAAAATGCTCCAATCTAGCCAAAACTGCATCCAAGTTTTGAGTCAAATTTTAGCCTATTAACACATTTATACCATTCTTAATCACCTTCATATCTTTGAATACATATAGTCAAATCATAATCAAGCACTTAATTGGGTCAATTTCACTTATTTTATAAAATTAATGTATTTCCGCACAAAATATGACCACTTTTACCCTCAAATGGTAGTTTCTCCAGAAATGACAAAAAAATGAAGTTCACAAATACCCCGAAAGTAGTAAATAAAAAAGTACTGATTATTTCCTGTCCATTGATGTATCATTCATGAATTTTGGACTATGAATGAAAAAGTTATAAGCCTTTATAATCCTATATAAAATCATTTGTTTCAAAGCAATTTTTATACCAATGCAAATTTACTCATCTATGACGTCACAATGACATCATAATAATGGATAGCTCAATACATGTGTATTATTACTTTTCCCGTACTTTTCATTTAAGACAAAATCAGTGCTTATATACTATTATTTACTTTAAAAAATAAAAATATGTGGTGTTGCAGATAAAATAAATAGTTCACTAAAGTTGTTTTGTTTCCATGGTAACCATTTTGTAATTTGTAGGAAAATGAGACAAAATTTTGAATTTCCTGACAAATCGCATAATTTTGACTGTCAAATATTCATGAAATTTCAATTCTTATATCCGTGTAATCTTAATAATGCATAATTTACAAAACAAAGATGTAGATCTAATTAATTTGAAAATCTTAAATAAAAAAAGAAAATCTATATGAGCTACAAAATGTATATATAGCAGTGCATGTACAGATTAGTTATAGCTTAATACTTTCACATTCTGATCACCTATTTAATATGTAAATTTCCTCACCCCCACCCCATCCTCCCACTTCAATGAATTTTTTTTTTTTAGAAAACTTGAACTTACATATTTTGCCGACTGTCACATTTTGCTGGTTCTTTTTCAAGATGTATTCAAATGGGTGTGCATTTGCTGGCCAATAGTTTTAAACACCATCTGCATGGACCTCATGTTTTTCCTGTACCAATCACCATGAACCTTAAAAAAAATCAATACAATAAATGGTACAATATCACATTTGCAGACAGACAGACAGACACACAGACATTCAACACGTACAATTTTACCATATTCCTTTTATGCCCATTACTTGAACTTAATTAATTTTAAAAATGATTATTTTGCTCCCACCTGAAATAACACTGTTTACACTGGTAATTAAGTTAATTCAGCAGAATAGGTAAAAATCATGTTTTACTGACAATAATTGAACATTCAACAAATACATGTAATGCAATTGCTAAAAAATATGAGAAAAATCAGTTAATGTGCATGTTCACACACATCGTTTAACTCCCAGACAACTGTACCCAGCTTGACCGCACAACTGATCTGAAATGATGTATGTCAAGTATGCATATGTGACGTGCCGATCATCGACATGTTCCAAAAACATTAAATTGTTATTTACAAATATTGTACTAAGGTATACCTCTTACCTCCTGTGTAAAATACAAATGCCCATTACCTATATACTGCTTAACACTGCCCTGAACAGTTTTGATAGCTTTCTGCTAAGTCTACTTTCACTTCGACCTTGACCCCGATTGAATACCGATCCCGAACTCATTTGTGAATTTTTGTGTATTGAAAATAAACCACAGTGGAGCATGTACTTCTACATAATTGCTTCTTAATCAAATTATACATTTACGACTCTGAATAAATAAATTATATAAATCGATACATTTAATCTACACGATACATGTGTAAACAATGGGTGTTCATGTTGACTGTTCCGGGGGAGGGGGGGGGGGGGGTCTAGACACTTTATATATGAATCAATTTGTTTAAAAATGTGTATCAACAATATAAGAATTGTTTTTTTCATAAATTTGAACAATTGAAAATAATAGAAAACAACAACTTTGAAATAAATTCAAGATTTATGACATCTCCACTTACTTATAGGCTTCCTAATATGGGTACAGTCCACTAATTGTTTTCCCATAGGCGACAATGTTAACGTTTCTTCTCATAGCGATGTCCCTAATTTTCGTTCGGTAGTGAGTGACCCCTCAAATCAAAGCACATCAACTTGTCTTTCCTTGGTTAAAATCTCGAGGTGGCATGTCAGATTGGTTTTCGGCAAAATGCGTCCTGCTGCGGGACCCTTAAAAATGAAAGTGAAAGTAGGGGAATTTCAGAATTCACCTGCGTTATAATACACAAAATAATTCGGCTGATCTTCTTGATAAATTACATTTTCAAAGCTTTTTTGGCAGGAAAGATACTCTTTATCAAAAAGTGTGAGGCTCAGTTCAGTACACCTGCCCAATTTTTTTTATGCAAGTCTGCAATTTAAGGAACTTGTAATTTTTTCTGCACTACTTTCTTCTCCTACCGATTCTAAAAATAATTAGTGGGATGTACCCAGGTAATAGCTAGCTTTACTTTCAATAAAATTAAACTCAAAAGTCCACAAATAAAATATCTTTCCTCATTTATTTCAAAGTTTGGGTAAAATGGGGGTGAGGAGCATGGGGATGTCTTGATATATCGCCTTATACATTCGAGGTTATTATTCTGTTAGACAGGAAGATCCGAGGAGTTGTGATTTGCTGATCATGATCTAAAACCCCTGACAAACCGAAACGACATGGTTGTATACACGTTATTCAATCAATTTATTCATAATTATGTCCCTTGAAGGAGGAATGCATGGATAAATGATTAAAGAAAATTCCCGATGTACAATACTGTGCATGGACTTCATTTTAGTACTATTGTCTACATAATGATATTGTGCTTGAAGCTGAATAAAATTATCAAATAAATTAAATCTACATAGGAAACGGAGATTATGTGTAATAGAATAAAAATTAGACAATACTTGATACAGGGACTCGCTGGTAAAAACATGAATGTACTTGAATAAAATGCCTCTCACTCGCTTTCCCCGTACGGTATTTTTAAACCAAGGAAATAATTTGCGCTATAGATAAAAAGTTCAAATTTTAAAGAAAATATAGTTATATACGGTAAACGTTACACATGGTTTGACTTTGCTGCCGGTTATGATTTTAACAGTTTAATTTAGGTTGTAAAAGCGTGTAATTACATGATAAGTCTGTAATATTCAGATAAGGTTACCCCGATATATAAGTTCTTAGATTTTCGATTCTGGACATACAATGCGGGTTTATTACTACTTGAATGTACATTGTATAACCTGCTACTGATATTTAATCGCGGAACAAAATTACAATGTTAGCACACGATACTAATCATTTATACGGGTTTTGAATAAATTATAAAAACAAATTAATTTCATTGTTTAAAATCATTATTTCTTGAATTTTACTATAAAACCTGTAATATATATAAATAGACAGTGTGCAAAAGAAGTCACTTATGAAGTTTACACGTGCCGGTGTTACTTATGTTTAATCCATTTCATCGATATAATTTATCTTTATACATTGGAAGATTCCTTTTAAAAGTTTAAAATTGGTATTGCCATGGTTAATATCTTTGATGAAAACTTTTGTTGAAAACGGATTTATTTGTGTGTGAAAAAAAAGCTTGGCTTTTTAATAAATATGGGTTGAGGAAAAGAATAAAGATCGCCAGTCCTTGGTTCATCGTCAAATTACACATGGACTAACGAATATTTAAAAATTGAAATATTTATGACATGAAAATAAATGCCCCAGCGTTTTATACTAAAGTCAAACCTAAAACATTTTAAGATATTTTTGAAAGATTTAATTTACTTAGAGCAAATAATATTTGTTTACTGTTGTAGAATGGTTTGAATATACCAATTATTTTGCCTATGACTGCGGGGTCAATGGTTCACCGGGGTGTGTCGCTTTAGAATTTCTCGGCCGCGTGTAATCGAAAGAATGTATGGGGTTCCGGTGAATATGAAAATCCCCAGAAAATTTTGTGTATTATTTGACTTTTAAAAAGTTTTTTTTATGAAATCCGGCGTATATTATATGTTGCCGTTCAAATTGTTTGTGTTTATATTCAAACGAAAAGATACTCGTACTTTTTTTTATAACCTTTCTTTGGAGTTGGAAAGATCTTTATTAATAAAAGGAAAATGATATTATCGAATACTATGAACGGGAAACAAAGAACACGTTTTAAACCTAATTTAAAAAAGAGATATGATACAGCGTTGTAAAATATTTATTACTTCCCAAGTTTATTTCAATTATTCTTCAATATCAAAATAGAACGGAGCCTTGTTTACGGTGAATGCGGATCTAGCTTTTTTCCTACCATACGTAAGACACGAAAAAAAATATTTTGATGGGGCAGAGATAGTATAAAAAAGGAAAAATTTTATCAAGAATTAATTTAACTATTCTGTGGTTGTTTATTTTTTGTGTATGACTGTATGTAGCTGGATCACGCCGGGTTCCCCGGGGACCACTTTTCCCCCCCCCCCCATCGAGGGAGGCGCGTTATATAATTGTAAACAAACAAGGTGAATGTTAAAGCCGTGCACTTAATAGCTGTGAATATATATTTGCTTTTTAGTTATGTTTTATTTTCTCACTTTATTGTTTGTTTTTATGTGATAAGAAGAAAAAATAACCCCCCCCCCTTTTGTAGACTTGGTTTATACGATTTTTTAAAAAAAAAAAGAAATAAAAGGGAAAGTTGTCAGTGAATAAACATGATAATTTGGAAGAAAAAAAGCACAAACACTTCAAGAACTTTATTCTGAAGAATATTAGAAACCAATGTAGCCATTTTTATTATTTATAGTAAGCTTGCTTTGGTTACACGCATGAGGAGCTCTTTTTTACGTGCTGAGTGAAAAGAATTACCTGTGCATATATAGGTATGCACCAGCTAATTTAAAACAAGACTCAACACAATAACAATTTCATGAGATCAGTAAGATGTTAAAGCACAACTTTATAATCATAGTATTTCGAAATATTTACCGTTTTTGAGTTATAAAGCAAAAACTTTCAAGGTCCCTTGATCCCTATTTATAGGGGCCAGCCCCTTTTGAATATTATTATATGAAAGCCCTTGCAAATTTCACAACTTTTGTTTATTATGTCTTAAAAAAATATTTTTAGTTTTCAAGATAAAAAGGAAAATACGTGTAAATTTTCGTCTTTTTGGCGTTCTAATTTTTGACCCCCATAAAGCGCCATTGTGAATACAGAAATAAAAACAAAAACCGATGTGCACAATTTCAATCCTTCTGTTACCTAAAAACAGTAAAAATTCTGCTGCAGCTTTTGTGGTCTCGAGCCTTTATCCGGAAAGAAAGGGCAATTTTCGTTTAAAGGGGAAAAACTCAAAAAGGGGAAATGAATTTTTAAAATGTTAGATAACACTCTGATAGAGTTTAATAATGTCTATAATGTCTGAAAATTTGAGCCAAATCCGTTGATAAATAAGTGAGATATGAGGCCTCAAAGTTGGCGTTAGGAAAGAAAGAAAAAAAAAAAATAATAATCTTTACCAACAGAATCAGAGAAGGTTTCCGTTGGAAACGTAAGACCTTAATAAAAAAAAAATAGCTAGACTGTCAGGCAGGGATACTAAAAATCGAAAGACTTTCTTGTAAAATAATTATAAAACAGTTAATACGTTCCTCTCAAACAGTTACATTCCGCAAAATGCACATACTTTGTGGTCGGAGCGACACATTTTAAAAAAAAAACTTTGAATTTAAGATTCCAGAAATATCTGTTTTCCAAGATTATTTAAATAACGGTCATGTCAATTTTTGCATGCCCCCCCCCCCCCCTGCCTAAAAAATCAAATGCCTAAATGTCAATCTGAACAGGCGATTGCCTTTCTCTTCGTGTGTGTGTTAAAGAACGTATAAGTACACATAAAAAATTGTATTCTGGTTTTTTTTTAAGATTTGAAGTAAATTATTGCCCTATATCAAATTACTTGGTTTAGATTTGAGATTAGTACTAAAATAATCAGTTATAATTGACAAATGAATTTTGCGACGCAAACCAACTGCAGACTATATACATGACTTTGTATAGAATGTATATTAGAACTTCATGTAGATAGACAATTTACAGTTATATACCTTATGAACAGCAGTTATAATAAAACCCCCCCCCTTTCAGCCGCGCAAATACCAAAATACCATATAACTTCTCTTTCCACTTGTTGTATTTTCCCTGACCAAAATCTGATCAGCACGGCTAAGGCTGTCTGAGTGCTAGTCTGTACGGAGTAGTGACAGTGTGTTTACTATTGGGCTTTTAGGGGTTATTTTTTTTTTGTGATGCATATTTCAATAAATGGAATTCAGGGTGTTTATCACTTTATCGTGCACGTCTTCGAACCGATGCAGTAACCTTATTACCAGGTATGGGTACGTTTACAGCGTTGGGGCGTCTTCTCGATATGCATCGATTGCATAGGACCTGCAAATCAAAGACATTGGTTGTTTTATTCAATTCAAATGATAATAATTTCAAAATGTGTTTGCGGATTTTATGCTTTTTATTTCAAGTTTATTCTGCAAAAAAGGGGGCCACTGTAAAAATACGTAAACATGCAACTAAATTTCTCTTCCAAACTTGCAATTTTTTCTTTTTCTTTTTTACTTTTGATTTAAATCAATAATCATTCAGAAATATGATTATTATGTTGTTTTTATTGTGGTTTTGAAATGTCTTGATCACCTCATGTGTTCTCATATGCTTTACCATCGGAGATGTGCACAAGTCGATACCCAAGCCAAAAAATCATTCAAGTGTAACGAGGGCATTGGGGTATATATCGTTACAATGAGACAAGGTATCTGAAAGAAATATGGCGGAATACGGCTATAGTTGGTATGAAACAAGTCGTACATAGATCAAAATGTTGCGTTTTTAAGAATTCATGTCAGTTTTTAAACATGTGACATTAAAACACGAGTTCTTAGTCACATGACATTATTCATACATTTTTCCCGCTATCAGTCTGACCTAGATGTGATCATCGGTGCTTTGTTCCCCCGTAAAATCAACAAATGAGAAAAGGGACAATCGGGGAAAGGGGGACTAAGTTAAATCGCTTTTTTCTACTTTCATTTCCCGCGAAAAATGAGTGTCCCAAAACAGATAAAAAGGTATTAATTTATGTC